GCCAGAGGCTTCCGGTCCGGGCTCAGAGTAGCAGGGACGTGGAGGGGCAGGGTTTGGGTTATGAGCCCTTTGACTGTGTTGCCAGCCCCTGTCTTCGGTCCTCTGGATGAGTTGAGTGTAAACCTCAGCGCGCCTTCACTACAGGTGATTGGCTCAGCAGCTCACCAGACAGGTCGCTGCCCGCGCAGTCTAAGGTGGTTGTCATTTTTGCCAGTTTGGTTGAATGTCATTGAACTAACACGCCTTCAAGCCAGGCACCAATGGCTCACACCTGTTATCCTAGCTACTCAGGAGGCTGAGATCTGAGGATTGCCATTTGAAGCCAGCCCAGTCAGGAAAGTTCATGAGACTTTTATCTCCAGTTGATCACCAAAATAAAGTCAGAAGTGGAGCTGTGGCTCAACTGGTAGAGCTCTAACTTGAAGTGAAAAGGCTAAGGAACAGCGCCAGGGCCTGAGTTCAAGCCACACACACACACACACACACACACACACACACACACACACACCCCACAAATTGCTTTTACTTGACCAAAGATTGTCCCTTTGGAGAAGCCAGGCCTCCTGGAGGTCTTCTCAGTCGATCCATTCAGACCAGCCACCGGTGTGCCCAGCCTCAGGCCCTGCCAGGCACAAGTGGGCAAGAAGGCTCCTGCCTCTCTCTTGTGCTGCTTTCAAAAGCCTGGGCCAAGGGCAGCGGCATTCTGGCCTCTGCTCTGTGCTTGAGATGCTGTGCAGAGGCCCAGGCCACATGTGTGGACGAGGTCCAGCTCCCCCGGACCCAAGGTGCCTCCCCTCATTCCCCCACACTTGGAGGCTGCTCTCTCAGCCCTCGCTGCCCCTTCCCGTGTGGCCCTCCCCAGGGACTCCCTTCAGCTGTCCCCAAATGTGCTGGGGATTAATGTTCAAGCTAGAGACCCCCGGGAGCCCCCATCTACTAAGGCCTTACTTGAAGATCAAACTTGCTTGGCTGACACTCTACTACTTGAGCCCCACTGCCACCCCACTTTTTGCCGTTTGTATGTTAGTATTTGAGGTTTCCAACACATTCTATTTTGTTTATTTATTTATTTTTGGGTCCAGTCATGGGGCCTGAACTCTGGGCCTGGGCGCTGTCCCTCAGCTCTTCAGCTCAAGGCTAGCGCTCTACCACTGAGCCACCTTCCCAGCCCCCAACACATTCTATTTTGCAGATCAGGGATGAGTAGTTTTTGAGGACCGGCATCTGGATAAATTCCCCAAAGTGTCCCATTGGTGTCCCCTCTCTGGTGCCGCCTCTGCCCTGGCCCAGCTTGGGTGGCTTGGGTTCCAAGCATACATTTACTGAAGCAGGCAGAGCCCTGGAGAGCAAGCCCGCTGGCCCGCCGCCCCCCACCGCCCTCCTCCCAGGGAGCTTCATCTGCCCGCTGCTGGTGATTTTGGAGATAGAGTCTCGCAAACTTTCCTGTCCAGCCTGGCTTCAGACCTTGTAAGCAAGACCTCAGCCTCCTAAAAGCTAGGGCTACAGGCATCAGCGCTTTCCTCCTCCCACCCACCCCCAAAACTGGAAAGGGATTTTTATTTAGGTCAGAGGAGAAATACTACAGAGCGCGATGGCTCAGGTGCTTAATCCCAGCCGCTAAGCAGGCTGAGGGCTGAGGATCGGGACTCAAAGCCAGCCTGGACATTTGTGAGACTCAGCTCTTGGGGGGAGACGGGGGGTGAAGCTGTGGCTCCAAGTGGTAGAATACCAGCCTTGAGCAGGAAAAAAAAAAAAAAAAGGGAGAGCTCAGGCCTTGAGTTCAAGTCCTAGTCCTGGCACAGAAACAAAGAGAATCCTTGAGAAGTGAAAGCCCCTTGTGTGGGTTTGAAGAAACCTTCAGGAAGATTCCTTCAGACAGGAGGGAAAGGAGGTCTCGCCGCGCAGGGACAGGAGGGTTTTCTAAAGGGAAGAGCGAAGAGGAACTTGGAGTAAGGGAGCAGTGAGTCCAGACCCTGCCTTCAAGGCTCCCCAGCAGTAACTGAACTGAACCCCCTTTGACTACGGGATTACGAGAGAGGCCGGGCCGGGAAGAAAGGCGGTGACATTTGGAATACAGACAGTGAGTGGCCGGGCGCCAGTGGCTCACACCTTCATCCTAGCGACTCCGGAGGCTGAGATCTGAGGGTCACCGTTTGAAGCCAGCCTGGGCAGGAGAGTCCGTGAGACTCATCACCAATTAACCACCAAAAGCCAGTGGCTCAAGTGGTAGAGCACACTAGCCTTGTGCACAAAAGCTCAGGAACAGTGCCCAGGCCCTGAATTCAAGTCCCAGGACCTGCCCTCCCCCCCCCCCAAAAAAAATGTTCAGGGGCTGGGGAGGTAGCTCAGTGGTAGACGCTTGCCTTGCATGCCTGAGGCCCTGGGTTCGATTCCTCAGCACCACATAAGCAAGAAGAAAAAAGCCGGAAGTGGTGCTGTGGCTCAGGTGGTAGAGCCCTAGCCTTGAGCTGAAGAGCTGAGGGACAGCGCCCAGGCCCAGGGTTCAGGCCCCACGACCAGACCCAAAAAAAAAAAAAAATGTTCAGACACTGGCCCATCGCCAAGCGCCCCACACGTGTGAGGCCCTCCGCGGCCCGGACGCCTGGGCCTTGGCCGTGGGACCTTTCCCCGCGCTCAGATCCGCTGAGGGCAGCTCGGGACCCACCTGGGGAATTGCAGATTTTCAGATTTCAGGAGACCCACGTGCACAGCTGCAGACACGCAGCTGTGCCCGGAGTGAACCATGGCCCACAAGCTGGTCCCTTCCTTCAGCGCTCCTCACGCCAGAGAACAGAGAGGAGACACAGGATTGGGGATGCCCTCCACCCCACCCATGGCCCTGCGCCCACAAACTCCCGGCTGCAGAGTTAGGCTCTTGATTGACATAGGCCGGTGCCAGCCTGAGGCTTTAGGGAAGATGTAACCTGAGCTCTGTCCCCTCCAGCCGCAGACGCCAAGCCAGGACCGTGGCTGTGGACAGGCCGGGAGGAGGAGCCTCGCCTGCCCGCCCCAGCAGCCCCTGGCCGGCCATGGGCTGTGCCCCGGGACACCGCCAGGTAGGCTGGGCTGGGGGTGGGGTCACACAGCCTGGTGGTCTACTTGGTCAAGGCTGCTGGGGTCGGTCCCCATGGGCAGATGAACACCCCAGAGCCCTTGGCCCCTGACACTGGAGGGAGGGCGCTCGCTGGGAGAGGGGAGCAGACCCCCTCCCCTCGCCCAGCTGCCCCTGGGCCAGACAGAATGGCTTGTGGTTTGGCCAGGCCGCACTTGCCCTTCCTGTACATGCTGAACTCACTTCCGCAGTTCCACACCGGGGGGGCCCCCTGGCTCCCCAGAAATCACTAGCCTCACACGCTCCTCCCCACTGCACCCAGGGGCTGCCCAACCCGCCCTCTGAGCGTCCTTGGAGATGCTCCCGATGGCTTCCCTGGGTGTGGATCCTGCAGTTCAGCTCTTCTAAGCCTGGGGGATGGGGTGACAAAGGACGGTGGGAAGGGAAAAGAAGGCCTGGATCTGCCTGGAATATTCTTTGCTCACCCCAACCGCCTCTTTGCTGGGTTGGCATCAACTCCCTCCGTCTCAGCCACGCCCCCTTTCTCCTGCCACACCCCTGGTCACAGCCATCGTCCCCTCCACAGGCCTGGGCCCCTGTGTCTCACCGTGGCCACAAAGACAGCTGCGACAAGGCCCCTGACCTGTGTTCCCACACCCGCGGGTGAATGCGAATGCGCAGGAAAAGCGAGAAGCAGCTCTCTGTGTAGCCTTGGTGGGGAACTGTCTTGTCCTGTCTGTCTGTCTGTCTGTCTGTCTGTCTCTCTCCCTCCCTCCCTTCTCTCTGTCTGTCTCTCTGTTTTCCTGTGTGGTGCTGGAGTTTGAACTTAGAACCTCATTTGCATGGTTCTTCCTCTAGAGCACTAAAGCCTAGCACTCTTTCCCTTTTCTTTCTTTTTTTTTTTTTGGGGGGGGGGTCCAGTCGTGGGGCCTGAACTCTGAGCCTGGGCACTGTCCCTCAGCTCTTCAGCTCAAGGTTGTGCTCTACCACTTGAGCCTCAGTGCCACTTCCAGCTTTTTTTTTTTCCTTTTTGCTTATGTGGTGCTGAGGAATCGAACCCAGGGCCTCATGCATGCAAGGCAAGTGCTCTACCACTGAGCCACCTTCCCAGCCCACTCTTTCCCTTTTCTTTTCCTTCTTACACCATCTTTTTTAGAATCCTTAGTGTTGAATTACTGGGGAAAGATACTGTTGACCAGGCTTTAAAAATACATTGATCCACCTGGTCATGTTGGCACACAAAAAGCCAAAAGTGGAACTATGGTAGAGACCAAGTGGTAGAGCACTAGCCTTGGGCACAAAAGCTCAAGAATAGTACCCAGGCTCTGAGTTCAAGCCTCAGGTCCAGCATGCACACGTGCACACACCTACACACACACACACATGTGCGTGTGCGCACACACACACACACACACACACACAAGATGAAACAATGAATTTTGTGCTTAGACTTAGGACCCACCCTCAAGATACCTTATTATACATATGCAAATGCTTCAGAATCCAAAATCATCTGAGATACAGAACACTTCTGGCTTCCAAGCCTTCAGAGAAGCGATTTGAACCTGTGTAGAGGTATGTGTGTGCTTGTTCACACCCACGTGTGCACATCCCCATACTGAGGCTTAAACTCGGGGCCTTGAGTTTCACTCGGCTTTTTCCACTCAGGCTGGTACTCCACCACTTGAGTCATGCCTCCACGTCTATCTTTTGCAGGTCAGACAGAGATAAGAATCTCAAGGATGGGGCTGGGAAGGTGGCTCAGTGGTAGAGTGCTTGACTTGCATGTATGAGGCCCTGGGTTTGATTCCTCAGCACCACATACACAGACAAAACCAGAAGTGGTGCTGTGGCTCAAGTGGTAGAGTGCTAGCCTTGAGCTGAAGAGCTGAGGGACAGTGCCTCAAGGCACAAAAAAAAGTGTCTCAAGGATTTGTCTGCTGGACTTCATACTATGATCCTCAGATCTCAGCCTCCTAGGATTATAGGTGTGAGCCATCAGCTCCCCGCCTAGTGGCTTTTAAAACAATGCAAGAAGTTTTTACCCTTTCATGTATCCCCGAGAATGTATGTCATTTTCGGAGCAGGCTTCAGGAAGTAGGCCAGCACTAGAGCAGACCCCTGTGTGTGCACACACAAGCGCACGTAGCATGCGACTGCGCACACAGCAGGGCACACAGCCGGCTCCTCGTGTGGAGCCCACCATCGCCCGGCCTCCTCCACCTTCTGGTTTTGCTGGTTTGCTGAGATGTCCGTAGCTGTGATCCAGAGATGCTTGTGAACCTCATGAGCAGAGATCACACAGGGGGCCCTGAGCCCCTTCTCTGGTGTCCTCTTGCGCACGGAGGGGACACAGGATCCTCTGCCTGACGTGCTCCGCAGCCAGGTGACTCAGCAGCATTCCAGCCCAGGTGAAGATGAAGGCTTGCTGCCTTCCACCGCGCGTCCCTGGCAGCACAATGTCCCATTGATGGCCACGCAGAGGAAGTAGCGGGCAGCCAGGTCACTCGGCACCTGCCGGCAGGGCCCTCCCAGCCACCACATGGAGCAAGCGTGTTTTCCACATGTTCCTGCAGCAAATGACATTCTCTGAGTTGGGTGACTGCCATACAGACTTGCCCTTCACGACCTTTCTCTGCTCTGGCCTGACCTGGCCTTTCTTTTCCCCAAGCAGGGCCGTTTCCTGACTCTGGCTCTCCCAGCTTGCCAAGCTCATGCTGGGCAGAGCATTTTTCCCCAGCCAGTGGGTGGGGCCGGCAAGTGGGAGGAGCCAACCAGAGGGAGTCCCTGTTGTGCTTAGGCTGATACAGCAGGAGTTGTGTCCTGGGCAAAGGAAAGGGTGAGGTGGCTTTGGAGGTCGGAGGTTAAGGTCCTCCCACTTACAAACCTGGTATCTACGGAGAGAGAAAGCCCACCCTCAGATGTAGTTTGTGATGATGGAGACCTGGGTAATCGCACTGCCATGGGGCAGCCAGCAGGCTCTCAGCCCAAAGAGCACCTGCTGGCAGAACTCCGTCCAGCCCAGAGAAGGTCCATCGTGTTCTTTCTTTTTTAATGCCAGTCCTGGGACTTGAATTCAGGGCCTGAGCACTGTCCCTGGGCTTCTTTTTGCTCAAGGCAGCACTCTATCACTTGAGCCACAACACCACTTCTGGCTTTTTCTTCTATCTTTTTCGGTTTTTTTTTTGGTTGGTTGTGGGGCCTGGGCACTGTCCCTCAGCTCTTCAGCTCAAGGCCAGCACTCTACCACTTGAGCCACAGCGCCACTTCTGGTTTTCTGGTAGTTTATTGGAGATAAGAGTCTCACAGACTTTCCTGGCCGGGTTGGCTTTGAACCCCAATCCTCAGATCTCAGCCTCCTGAGTAGCTAGGATTACAGGCATGAGCCCCCGGTGCCCAGCTATTTCTGGGATTTTCTGGTGTGAGGAATCGAACCAAGGGGGCTACATGCATGCTAGGCGAGCACTCTGCCACTAAGCTGCATTCCCAGCCCCGGTGCATTTTTTCTCTGCGGGCCGTCCACTGATCAGGCGAGTCCCATCCTCACTCTTGTTTTATTAACATCTCAATCTTACCCAAAATCTAACATCACAGAGACATTCAGAATAATGTCTGCCCACCAAGGCCCAGACAAATGGACACATCAGAATAACCATCCTCAGGACTTTGATACACTTCCGGTTACTGTCCAAAAGGCAATCCCTTTCCTGTAATCCTGGGGCTGAGAGATTACAGATTCCTGGACCCTGCTGCCCCGCCTTTTTTCTTCTCTGCTTCCTGGAAGTTCACCTGGGCTGACCCTTGACCACCGCCTGACCTAACGGTCCCTTTGGCTCTAAAGCACCGTGAGTAGAGGTGGCCGGACTCCTGGGCCTGTGGAGCTGGCAGCTCTGGGCCAGCTGCCATGTGATGCGGGGCCCCGCCTCCCTGTCGCAGTACTGCGGCCGGTGACACGCAGAGGGCCCCAAATGATAGCAAAGAAAACTAGCTGGCTCTCACCTGTCATCCTAGCTACTCAGGAGGCTGAGATCTGAGGATCTAGGTTCAAAGCCAGCCCGGGTAGATAAATCCAATGGACTTATCTCCTGCTAACCAGCAAAAAGCTGGAGGTGACAATGTGGCTCAAGTGGAGAGTTCTGGCTTCAATTAGATAAAGCAAAGCATAAGAACCTCTGAACTCAAGCCTCCATACCAGCACTTGATTATAAAGGAAGAGTAAAAACAAGCATGGGAGGGTTTGTCACTGTGTATGCATATGTACTCTGCCGTCCTCCTCCACTTTTTTTTTTTTTTGTCAGTCGGGCTTGAACTCGGCCTGGGCGCTGTCTCTCAGCTCTTCAGCTCAAGGCCAGTGCTCTACTACTTGAGCCACAGCGCCACTTCTGGCTTTTTCTGTTTATGTGGAGCTGAGGAGTTGAACCCAGGGCCTCCGGCATGCAAGGCAAGCGCTCTACCACTGAGCCACCTTCACAGCCCCCCACTTTCTTGCTCTCAACTTATGCTCTACTACTTAACCATGCTTCCAGTCCAGCTTTTAGATGATTGTATTAGAGATAAAGTCTCGCAGACTTTTCTGCCCAGGCTGGCTTTGAACTGGGATCCTCCAGGTCTCTGCCTCTTGAGTAGCTAGTTTTCTTTTAATATCAGGCACGAGCCACCGGTGCCCAGTTTTATATCATTCGTTTACAACCTCACCTGACTGGTCAGATCTTCCCACTTTGAATTAGCGAAGAGAGAATTTCATCTGGTTGACCTATGGTCTCGTGGCCTGGCGCCGTCTCTGCCACTCGCGTAGTTTTTCAGTGAATGAAAGCAAACAGGGCATCAGCCTCACGGACCCTCGCAGGAGTAGGTGCAGCACGAGGTGGAGCAGATGCTGTAGACCGTGGAGAGCGGCAGGGCCCTGCTGTCACTGGTGAAAATGTGCTCCCGGGTCAAAGGTAGAACCTGATAGTATCAGTGGTAGAAAAATGAATTTGATTTAACATTGAAAAAAAAAATAAAAGCTAAATCCTCCCCATCTTTCAAACCGGATTGTGCAACTGGAGTCTCTCAGATTCCAGGAATTGCCGTGTGCCATCCCCGAATGCCAATAAAGAATGTGCTGAAGGGCAAAGGGAGATTTTATTACAGGGCGCCGGCAGCCGTGGGAAGACAGGACTTTGGTTTATCTCCAGCTGTCTTCAGCCATCTTGGGATGAGAAAGGTAGAGAGGCACAGATGTGTGCAGAGCGGGCCTGTGGAGCGCTGTCCCAGGACCGCTTAGGTGGGGCCTTGTTACACTAAGTCACTGACACCTGGCCAGCGGTCCCGCCTTTCCCACGCGCCAAGATGGCAATCAAGTCTTAGCTGCAGAGAGAATTGCTCAGAACATAGGACAGGTACAAAATGGAGGACTCTGGGATGCCCAGTCTTCATGTAGCTTCCTTTCTGAGACAATAACTCAGTGTTGCTCAGCAAGAGCAATTAATTTTGTTTTGAAAGCTAGGTACTGGGCTGGGAGGTGGCTTAATGGTAGAGTGCTTGCCTGGCATGCATGAAGCCCTGGGTTCCATTCCTCAGTACCACATAACAGAAAAGACCGGAAGTGGTGCTGGCTCAAGTAGTAGAGTGCCAGCCTTGAGCAAAAAAAGAAACTCAGGGACAAGTGCCTAGGCCCCAGGACTGGCAAAAACCTAGTACTGGTTACCTTCTGCCTGTAATCCTAGCTTCTCAGGCTGAGATCTGAGGATCATAGTTCAAAGTCAGCCTGGGGAGGAAAGTCCATGAGAGTCTTGTTGCTCAAGTACTAGAGAACCAACCTTGACCACCCCACCCCACACACCAAAAAAAAAAAAAAAAAGAGGCTAAGGGACAGTGCTCATATTCTGCGTTCAAGCCCTAACTCTAGAAAGAAAAAGCTTTTTTAGTTGTTGGTCGTGGGACTTGAACTCTGGGCAAGGGCACTGTCCCTCAGCTCTTCAGCTCAAGGTTAGCACTCTACCGCTTGAGCCACAGTGCCACTTCCGGTTTTCTGGTGGTTAATTGAGGATAACAGTCCCACAGACTTTCCTGCCTGGGCTGGCTTTGAACCTCAATCCTTAGATCTCAGCCTCCTGAGTAGCTAGGATTACAGACATGAACCACCAGTGTGCAGCAAGAAAAAGCTTTTCAGCCGGAGCCTTGCCTGAGCCCCTGGCCTCCTCCAGGAAGTCTATCTTATATTCACTAGGGTCCTGGGCTCCACACCCCAGTAAAGAGCACACTCCCCATCTGCCCCATCAGTGTCCTGGCCAGGGGGACCCCTCCTTTAGCAGGGGTGCATAGACCCTGTATAGCTCACACAGAATAAGTCACCCACATAGAGGAGGAAGACAGGCCGCCCCTGCCTGAGGCCTCTGCACTGAGTGGTGACCACACCCCCAGGTGATGATCTTGGGGTTCCGTGTCTTCAGACATGTTTGGGGAAATGGATACCTCGAGGTAGTGAGGGCCCCAGGGCGAAGTTGGGCCTGCACTGCCCATGGCCCAGAGGCAGGAAGAGAGGCCCCAGGCCCGTGGCAGGTGGCTGCAGATGCCTGGCATAATGTCACCGGGCTTGGGGACGGGGGACTGGGGGGGCGGGTGTCTCTGTAGGCTGCTTTGTCCCTCCATGCGGCACACTCTCTGCAAGGTGGCTGCGGGCCCCCTCGGCTCTGTGTGTGACCCCAGGAAGGCCCCTGAACTTCAGACCCTCTCAGTCTTTACACCTAATGAATGAGGTGTAGCACACAGGCAGACTCAGCGCGCCTTCTCCACCCGGCCCCCATCAGAAACTGACCCGCGCACTTCGGTTGGTCCGGCCGGCGCCTGCGCACTACCCCACAGCTCTGGAGGGAGAGGCCCGAGCCGCACTCCCCTGGACTTGAAGCCACCTGTGTCCCAGGATACACTGCACACCGGCCCTTCCCTGCTCCAGAGAACACCCGTCCTCCTTAGCTAGCGGCCCTTCCTCCATCCTGCAGGCCAGCCGCAATTCCGGGAGGCCAGTGTGACCCGCCATCTCGGTCACCACTGCCGCCCTGCGTGAGGCGACCCCGCACACATCCCACGCCCTCAAGGACAGAGGAAGGTGCCCTTGAGGGGACGGAGCTCGAGCTGCGTGCCCGCCCTGCCGCCTGCAGTTCTCCCTCACCAACAGCGGACCCGTGGATGTCGTTGGAAACCACCAGTTTCATTCCGGCTGTCCAAGGCCGCCCATGTCTGAGCATGGAAACGCCTTCTCCAGCCTCGCAGACAGCAAGTGGCCGGGACACGCTGCTGTCCAGAAGCCTTAATAACTCACGCCACAGCAATGCTGGGTCTGACCCCTCTCTCTGGACCCCGCCCCGCCCACCCTGGGCAGCTGTCTTCATTCGCAAGGACCGAGGGCGGCTCTTGGCCTGTCTCCAAAGCCATCTCTTCTCTGACTGGCCCGTGCCACCTCCTCCTTCCTCTGAGGGGCATCCCTCAGTCACCTGCACAGCCCCGCACCACTGGCTCAGGATCAGGGTTTGAAGCCAGACTAGGCAAGAAAGTCCCTGACACTTATCTCCAGTTAACCACCAAAAAGCGCAAAGTGGAGCCGTGGCTCGACGCGGTAAAGTACTAGCCATTAGCGATTAAAAAAAACAAAAACTTAAAAAAACCTCAGCAACAGCACCCAGAGCCAGAGTTCAAGCCCCCAGACCACACACTCGCATGCATGCGCACGCGCGCACGCACACACACACACACACACACGCACGCACACTTCTCCATATTGTGAAGCGGGCTAATTCTGCAGCCCACTTTGTCAAGTTCCACGGCACGTTCACCGGTTCAGGGACCCCGTCCTGCCGCCGTCTTTTCCTGACTGCTGATGTAAATGCCACCGCTCCCAGGCGCTGCTCTGCTTTCTGCTTAGCATTTCTTTCTGCACAGGCCAGGATTCAGCCCCACTGGGCCGGGCCCTGCCCCAGGCCTTGACACCACTGTGTGGCATCTCTTTCCCCTCCTTTGTTTTTTCTTTTTTCCTTTTTTTCCCCTGATACTAAGGCTGCCAGTGCCCAGCTCCTCCCCCCACGATTATTAACCCTTTGCTTACCAGCTGAGAGCTCTACATTGCATTTTCCTCCCCTAGGGAATTCCCATCCACCTTTACCTGCAGGCTGTGGGCTCCTCAAGCTCCAGAGACCTCGGAGCTTAACTTGCCCAGGGAAAAGGCATCCGCTCCGGCCCCCCACTTCTCCCCCTGTGGCCCCCAGCACGCTAGCCGCCCCAGCTCCACTCGAGGCCTGCAGAGTAAGTCAGCCGAGCCCCAGGGGGTGGCCGGGTGGGGGGAGGACACTTTTTCAATGATTTTTAAAATTTTTATTAGGGGCCAGGAAGGTGGCTCAGTGGTAGAGCGCTTGCCTTGCATGCATGAGGCCCTGGGTTCGATTCCTCAGCACCACATAAGCAGGAAAAAAAAAAAGGCCAGAAGTGGTGCTGTAGCTCAAGTGGTAGAGTGCTAGCCTTGAGCTGAAGAGCTGAGGGACAGCGCCCAGGCCCAGAGTTCAAGCCCCATGACCAACCCAAAAAAATTTTTTTTATTATTATAAAGGTGACAGAGGTTACGGTTGCGTACGTCGGGTAAAGAGTACATTTCTTTCTCGACAAGGTGGGAGGACATTTTGCCTCTGTTTGGATCCGTGTCCGTTGTGTGCATATCAGGCAAAGGAGGTTCTCCCCTTCTCCATGAGCAGAGGCCAGTTACCCCTCATAACCTTCCCTGCCTGTTACTATTAAACAGCCACGGGTCGCAGCGGCTCCCGCACAGGTGCCACTGAGGCGCTTCCGCCGCCTGCGTCCCGTCCCGCACAGACAAGAAGCCCCCACGCCCACCCCGGCCGCCTGACTGGCTCTGTGTGCCAGCCTGGCTCTCATGGGAGGCTGTGTGTGTGTGTGTGTGTGTGTGTGTGTGTGTGTGTGTGTGTGTGTCCCTGCCTCCGCCAGGCAGCCTGGAAGTCAAACAGAGAAGCAGATGCGGCCTGTGGGCCGGTGCCCCCAGGATCCCCGGGGTGCCCTTTGAGCTCACCATCAGACTCACCTCTCCATCTTTCTTGGTACCCTCCCAGGCTCAGCCAGCAGACTGCCTTCCCCCACACCCCCACCCCCCAGTTCTCCACCACATCGAAGCTCTAGACCTTTCCAGAAGATTGCACTAAGAATGAGAGCATCAGGCAGTCCAGAATACAACATGCACTCCCAGAACCGCCCCAGCCCTCCCTCCCCACTCCCTGCCTGGCCAAGTGTAGAGTGGGGGACCTCCTTGACCCCCAGAATCACAGTGAGGGCACGGCTCTGGTCAGACTCCCCCCACCCCACCGCCCAGGCCCAGATGCAGCAGCAGGCAATTCCACACAGTCGGGTCAAGGGGCAGGCGGTCAGGCCCAACCCTGCCCTGCCCTAGGTCGAACACCCCCCCCCCCCCCCCCGCCCTGGTCAGAGGAGCCGGGCGATGAGGATCACCGTGCAGCCCAGGGGCTGGAGGCGGCTGCAGCCAGGGACATCCCATGCCGGCCCGCGTCCTGTGCGGACACCAGCCAGCCCAGGCCGGCAGCAGAGCTCACCAGGCCGCCTGCTTCCTGTGGGGCAAAGATCGTGACCAAACGAGCCGCCCGCATGGCCACAGAGCCCAGCCTGGCACGAGAACCTTCTCTGTTGTGTTTGCACATGGCGGGCTGGCGGACACAGAGGCGTTCTGTGCCCAGACCACGCGGCTTTTCTTCTGCAGGCAGCCAGCCTCACAGGAAGTGAGGGTGGCTTCCGTCCCCCCGTGTCACCTGACTCCCAGCCAGCAGCTGCAGGTGACAGATGTGAAGGGACGGTTGTGAGCCCCATGGAGGCTGGGAGCCTCCCAGCCGAGCACCGAGGAAGGAGATCGCTCCAGGCAACCGGGAGCCAGCGAGCTGGGATGCCGATGCCCTCCGACACAGGACGCGGAGAGCCCGCCCCGCCCTCCCCTCGCTCTCAGGAGACCTAGCCCCAGAACCGGGCCATGGATTCTACCACCCAGCGCCCAGCCAGCGCAGGAGCCCGGCAGCCTTATGGAAGACCCCTCTGCCCACTGCCTCGGCAGCCACTGAATGCTTGCCTCCTTCTTCAAACTCCCATCAAGAAGAGGGGACCGGCCGGGCGCCAGTGGCTCCCACCTGTAATCCTAGCTACTGACTGAGGAGGCTGAGATCTGAGGATCATGGTTCAAAGCCAGCCCAGGCAGGAAAGTCCCTGAGACTCTTATCTCCAATAAACCACTAGAAAATGGGAAGTGGCACTGTGGCTCAAGTGGTAGAGCACTCGCCTTGAGCTGAAGAGCTGAGGGACAGCGCCCAGGCCCAGAGTTCAAGCCCCACAACCGACAAAAAAAAAAAAAAAAGAATGTGTTGCGTTCTGGTGTCTTCAGGGCAGCCCCGAGCCGCCTTAGAAAGGTAACCAGGTCTAGCCGGGTGCCGGTGGCTCACACCTACGATGCTAGCTGAGATCTGAGGATCAGGGTTCAAAGCCAGCTCAGGCAGAAAAGTCCCCATAGAGACTCATCTCCAATGAAGTGGCGCTGTGGCTCAAATGGTAGTGCGCTAGTCTTGAGCACAGAGAGGCTCAGGGACAGCGCCCAGACCCTGAGCTCAAGTCCCAGAACTGACAAAAAAAAAAAAAGGAATCTGGTTTAGTTCAGCCTGGGGAGGCATGCCTACAATCCCAGCACTTGGGAGGCTGAGGGAGGAGGATCTCAAAGTAGAGGCCACCCTGAACTTTGTGAGTCCAAGGCCTGACCAGTTTAATGCCTGTTTTTCCCTCCCCCCCCCCCCCCCAGTTAAGCCCATAAATAGGCTCCTCACCAAGCCTGGCACCAGGCCCAAGCCCCGGGCCCAGAACAGAACACCACATTCAGAGCCAGCTTGGCACAGGTGCCTCGAGTTACCCAAACAGTAAACCTGAATAAATGAGTATTTAGAGAGACAGAGAATGCCATCCCCTCCTGGTGGGGGCAGGGGATTCCCCCCAGTAGAGATGTTTTTGGCCCCCTGGTCCTGAATGAAGAACAAGCCCTCAGAAGAGCAGGCTGGGGGGACCAAGCCTAAGATGTGCAGGTAAAAAGCTAGAGCCACAGGAGGTCGGAACATGTCTGTGGGCAGGCGTGGGCGGTCCTGGCACAGCTCTGTTCTCAGAGAAGATGGTTTTATTCTGTCTGGATGTAAGCAAAAAAGGGGGTTTCATGGAATATGGTAAATTAGCTGGTGGAGGAGGATTTGATCCCATTCACGTGTGTATACACATATTTATATTTACATAAAGATATATAGATATAGATATATCCAAGTGTAGTGATGCATGCCTGTAATCCCAACACTTAAGAAACTGATGTGGGGGGGGGGGGGGCTGGGAAGGTGGCTCAGTGGTAGAGCGCTTGCCTTGCATGCCTGAGGCCCTGGGTTCGATTCCTCAGCACCACATAAGCAAAAAAGAAAAAAAGCCGGAAGTGGCGCTGTGGCTCAAGTGGTAGAGCGCTAGCCTTGCCGAAGAGCCGAGGGACAGCGCCCAGGCCCAGAGTTCAGGCCCCACGACCGGACCCAAAAAAGAAAAGAAAAAAAGAAAGAAACTGATGTAGGGAGGTGGTACTGGGGCTCAAGTGGTGGAGCACGAGTCTTAGCCTTAGCCTTGAGCACAAACAGGCTCAGGGACAGCCTCCAGGCCACAAGTTTAAAAGGCCAACTGACCAAAAAACAAAACGAAACAAAAAAAGACTGCCAGGTGCCAGTGGCTCACACCTGTCATCCTAGATGCTCCGGAGGCTGAGATCTGAGGATCAGGGTTCAAAGCCAGTGGGGGCAGGAACACTTGTGAGCCTTATCTCCCATAAACCACCAGAAAACCAGAAGTGGCACTGGGACTCAAGTGTTAAGAGTACTTGCCTTAAGCTGAAGAGCTGAGGGAAAACGCCCAGACCCAAAGTTCAAGCCCAAGACTGTATATAATTAATGCGTGAAAGGTAAAATAGGAAGCATGTTCATTAAGAATAAGTCTGAAGCCAGGCACTGGTGGCTCACACCTGTAATCCTGGCTACTCAAGAGGCTGAGATCTGAGGATTGAGGTTCAAGACAGCCAGGGCAGGAAAGTCCGGGAAACTCTTATCTCCAATAAACCACCAGAAAACCGGAAGTGGCGCTAGTGGTAGAGCACTAGCCTTTACTGAAGAGCTGAGGGACAGCGCTCAGGCCCCACACCCCCTCTAGCCCTGGCTTGGCCTGCAGAAGCCTCCAGTGTAAACACCGCCCAGCCTCAGGTACTAGGCAGAGGGACGTGGAGGCCGGGGTGGGGCCCTTGCAGAGGAGTGAGAGCCTCCTCCCCACACCCCAGATTCCTCAGGGCCAGCTGCCTGGCACCTCTTTCCACTGCCTGGTGTGAAGGAAAGACAATCTCTTAGAGGTGAGAGGTCTCGCTGTGCTGACTTCACTGGTGGAGGCCTGGGTGGGCCTGCAGGAGAAGTAAACACCGCCCGGCCAGGGCCCTGGAGGCCACGCCAAGCCACACAGGTACACATTCTGAAGCTTAAGGCTGGAAACGTCCTGAGTGCCGGGACTGCAGGGATGTGGCACCATGCTTCGGCTCTTTTGCTTTGAACCAAAGCAAAAGATTGGATTTGACTCAAGAAAGAAAACTGATTTGCTCTCTGATGAAACACACACGTCTCCCACCTCCTGTGCTCTGCCCCAGGATCAGGTGGTACGCGGAGAAAGCACTCACCGCGCAGAAGCTGAGGGAGAATGGGAAGGCCCAGACAGCTGGGCACAGCTGAGCCTCGGAAGTCACAGTCTGAGGGCTCATCCTTCCTCACAAGTTCCAAGACTCTGCTCATGGCTTCCCTTGACCCATTTCATGGGAAAATCTTAGGAGTCAAGTAATTTGATCTCTAGGTTATTTATAATTTATTTTTATTTTGGCATTACTGGGGTTTGAACTCAGGGCCTTTTGCTATGCTGATTCTCTACAACTGGAGCCAAGCCTTTTAGCTTTCAGTAGTGAGGCTTGAACTCAAGGCCAAAGCACCGTACTTGAACTTTTTTTTTTTTTCTTTTTTGGGGTCCAGTCGTGGGGCCTGAACTCTAGGCCTGGGCGCTGTCCCTGCGCTCTTCAGCTCAAGGCGAGCACTCTACCACTTGAGCCACAGTGCCACTTCCAGTTTTCTATTGGTTTATTGGAGACAAGAGTCTCACAGACTTTCCTGCCCGGACTGGCTTTGAACCTCGATCCTTAGATCTCAGCCCCTGAGTAGCTAGAATTATAGGTGTGAGCCACCGGCGCCTGGCTAGCTTTTTTAAATGCTTGATTTATTCATGTATTTGACTTTTTCTCCTGTAGATTGGGTTAATTTCTAGCCTCCGTTTATACAGTTGAGCTAGCAGACAGTTGGACTATTTATAAATAAGTTGTTGGGTTTTTTTTTGGGGGGGGGTCCGGTCGTGGGGCCTGAACTCGGCCTGGGCACTGTCCCTCAGCTCGTCAGCTCAAGGCTAGCGCTCTACCACTTGAGCCACAGTGCCACTTCCGGCTTTTCTCTTTTTGCTTCCGTGATGCTGAGGAATCGAACCCAGGGCCTCAGGCATGCAAGTGCTCTACCACTGAGCCACCTTCCCAGCCCCTGTTGGTATTTTTTGAAGCATATTTCTACAGTTTTTGGAAGGCAGAGACAAGGAGGATCTCAAATTTGAGGACAGCCTGGGCTACATAGGAAGACTCTGGCTCAAAAAATAAAATTAGAGAAAGCAAAGAGGGCTGGAGATACACCTCAGGTGGTAGAGCACCCATTTAGAAAGTGTCAAGACCCGAGTTCAAACCCTAGTACCAGAACAACTAAGATTAATGCCAAAAAATGAGAAAATAGTAAACTTTTTTAATGAAAAAGAAGTCTGCCCTTGTATTTGCATGACACTATCTTATCTAACGCTGGTCTCATTCCAATAAAACTTTATTTATAAAATGAGCAGCCGGCGCACAGGCCAATTTGCTCATTGATTGTTTTTAAATAGTATATCACTGAGGTTTTGGTGCCCCCTTAAATTTGCCATGCCTGGTGAACGCCGGACCCCCATCACTGTAATCATGGCTCTGGATCTGGGGGTTCCTCCTGGGCCTCCCAGGGGACCTGGCAGCACCGCCTTTGGCTGAGTGGCTGGGCCTGTCTGTCTGACCATCTTCATCGCCTTAGACCGTTCATGGTGAGTCATATTCAAGAGTGATTGAGTTAGCCTTGGCACAGAGCAGACCTCCAAGATCTATTAGCTTCCCAGTGGAGCTATGATGGGCCGAGTTGTGCATCTGTGGACACAGAGCAGTAGGGGCCTCACTCAGGTCTGGCTGTTGGCCGGAATTCTCGCTTCTCCAGTGAGGCCTCATCCCTCAGCAAGCCTGCTGGGTCTCAGGCAACCACTGCTGGGAGAGCTGCAGCCTCTCCAACATCGTGGCCAAAATGGATCACATGGTCAAAGCCAGAGGCTGTCTGCAGGACAAAAATACAGGGCCCTCTCTCTGCTCTTTTCTAGCTCTTTCTCAGCTCTTTCCTTCTCTTCTCTTTCCCAGCTCTCTTTCCCAGGCCTTTCTCCACCACGTGGAGGACCAAGATGGCCTGGTGCCAGCCGGAACCATGAATAAACCTAGCCC